ATAACTACCTTTTATCTTTACTTCAGTAGAGGTTGGCAATTCCAGGGCTAAAATTAACCAAAAGATTCTAATGAAAGGGTATGGAGTTCAAAAACACACTGGAGCACTTCCTGTATTGCCAAATGACATCACAAGGTGTAACAGAGTGTCTTCTGCTTTAGAAAAGAACACAGCCCAAATATATCTGATTTGTGTGTTAAACATGTGGAAATGAAGCAAAACATCTAGGCATGTCTTTGATGTGGAAACATTATAACATAGATCAGAAAATAGCATAATATAGGCCCTTTAATTGCAGTTGGATAAAGTCTGTCACCTGCTTGTCTCCATGGAGATTGTTTTGTCTGGAATGTTCTGGTATGGAATTAAACATCCATCTTGCATTTCCTCAATAACGTATGTTTTTATTGACCTAAAATCTTGGATTCTTTCTGTGAGTCGTCAGACTGTGGCGTCACCTTCTCCATAGAGATAAATAAGTGTAATGCCATACTGTGGAATATTTCAGGCAATATCACCATAGAGAGATGCATGTGATGGACCCCAAACCAGAAAAGTTCCACAGTGCACCTTTAAAATCATGTTTGCTATTTTTGATGAGAGACTTTTACATGAAAGTAAGTTATGCATCAATTCTCCTTTAGTGCAATTACTTTTAGATTTAGTTCCACTTGCTGTGTCTTAGTGTTTCCCTGCAGCAGTTTGTCAGGATGGAGGTGTAATTAGTGCATGTCCCAGTCCTCCCTGATGTTGTTCATTAATCTCACTTGAGTGATTAGGCGGTGCAGACGTATGGAGCCACTGGAGGTGTGAAAGTGTTGTCGTCCCACTCAGAAAATGTGCCACAGCCCATTGGCAGCTAATCATGCTCATAATGGTAAGTGAAATATCCCACTGACACTTGTTACAATGACATTACAAGGTCAGGATTTCAGACTGCTATTGTATTCTATGTGAGGTGTTTTTCAAGTTTTGTCTTGATGCTAAAATTATATAAAAAATTATTTTGTCAGATCTCAGAATCTAAGCAGAGCTGGGCCTGGTTTAGAGCTGTGCCAAAAATTGTAAGATTGATAAAGCACAATCTCAATTTTGGTCGATCTCGATGATAAGGCATGCATATTTTAACCAACAGGTTTACAGCCAATCATGTGTCAGTAAGGGGGTGTGGTGCTAACAAGGATTTACATTCTTGTTTAGGAAAAATCAGCCTGAGTCACAGCGTGTCTCTTTCTGTCTCCCTATGAGTTCATAGGTTTTGATTTAAATCTGCACAAGTCCAGTTTCTCCCTCTGTCTCTGTCAGTGTGCTGTACCGTGTGACGCTCCCCTCCCTCTCTCTCTGATCCAGCCAGAGCTCCTCACCTTTTCTCTTGTATTTCTCTCCTCTGTTGCTTCTTATCATTATAATCCAAGAATTCACTTTTCTCACCGTTTATGAGTGAAACTTGCCCGGACATTGCATGTGTTTCTGATCATAGCTGTAGTGGGCGTGCACATGTGGTCTGCCATGCGTTAGGTTTAATATATTGAACAAATTCATCAAATGTGAAATTCTCTGGAATTATCAGTCCTATCAACATGAAATACAAATGGTGGTGATCCTGACACACTGTTCTTTATGTCTGTCTATGTTTTAAATAAGATGGAAGAAGATCGAATCGAAAATCGAGACATCAATATGGAAAGAAATTTTTAAAAATGTTTTCCCCATATCGCCCAGCCCTAGCCTGGTTAGTACTTGAATACTTGGGTGGGAGACCGCTGGGAATTTCAGGTGCCACAGTGGGGCGCCAATGGCAAAAAAACTGTTGTTGTGTTCTTAGACAAGGCACTTTACAACCACATTGCCTAGTGTGAATGTGCTGTGTGCGTGCATGATTGATGGTGTTGGGAGGTGCCAATGGCACAGAATGGCAGCCTCACTTCCATCAGTCTGCCCCAGGGAAGCTGTGGCTACTGTAGTAGTTTATCACCAGTGAGTGAGGAGTGAATGAATAATGCCCTGTAAAGTATCTGAGTGTACAAACGAGAGCTGCATAAATCCTATCCATCATTGTTATTACTTTATTATACATTCTAAATTCTATTCCATTATACAATTTTATATGTATTTTTTTCACTGTTGATATTTGCACAAATGAGTAGTACCAGTTTTAGTAATGACTAGTATCTGAGTATCCATTTCTTTGACAAATCCCTGTTTGTATAGACCTAAGTGAGCAGAGTATTCATGATTAGAGGAAGACATGTCTCCTGTATCCTGGTGTGATGAGCTGATGAGGTGATTGTGGGGTCTGTGGAGCCAGATGCTTGTCGTGCAGTGATACTCCACATCCAAACTACACAATCTGTTCCCCAGGGCAGACGAACACCAGGAACCTTTGTTAAATTAAAGATGAAGCAAAGATGTTGTTTAGTAATTTCACTGTTAGCCAGTCTGGAGCTGTCACATTTTCTACTATAAGGGATAATAGGTTAGGTTAAAGACATGTGACATCTAGCTTCAATTCAATCACAGAGACATTGTTGTAGTCAACTGAAAAAATGTTTAAACAATTTGGCATATGCTTTTACGCTAGTGAAAATTTGAAGGTCAAACATTTATGAATTGAATTTGTTCATTTTAGTTTTTCTTCAGTGAATCACCCATTATAGTAGCAATATTTGGCCATACTGTCCTCTGTCTGAAATTATACCATTACATTTTAGAATGACATCAACACAATCTATTTAATAGTGACAATATCATCACCAACAGACGAAATCTCCTGTATCTTCATTACCTTGCCAAATTGGGTCTGAATATATGTATACTTGTACAAACAGAGCCCAAGGTCTGATGTTTTGGTCTTCAGTAAAGTTCTATAATTAAAGTTGCCTATAGGAGAACAATAGTGTTTTAAAGGTGCACTACTTGTCTCCATAGAGATGTTATTGCTTTGCCTGGAATGAGCCACATGATATTAGACTTGGCCATTTCCATAAAAACAAGCATGCGACACCATCAAACCACACCTATGTACAGGTGACCCCACTTACAGTAAGAATGCATGTATTTCAAGTTATTTTTGAACAATTAAAAACAACTGTGAATACAATGTGGATGCCGTACTGGGGAATATTCCAAACAAAGCAATAACATCATCACAGAGACAAGCAGATTATGGACTCTCCCCTCAAAAAGTTACACAGTACACTTTTAACATAACATTAATGAACTTGAACTCATATTGTGTTGCTACAGTCAGACATATTATTTGTGAATCTTTTCTCAACCCACATCAATCAATTCTTAACTAAAATGAGTTCAGACAAAGACAAAGGAGAGCCACGCTGTAAGATTAAGATGTCTTTTGCTATGAAATACATGTTGTTTCCAATTTGCATTTGACCTATTTTTGTCATGCCATAAGTTGCCAGTTCTGTGCTCGAGAATATAGCAACTTTAATTGGACGTTTGATCTTGGCATTAAAAGCATGTAGCACTGAGGGAAATCACATGAGATCAACTCTGGATCTTCCTCAGGGCCGCAGCCAACATCACAGCACCTTTTAAAGTTGAACACAGTGTTGAGATAATACGCTGTGTGAGTTTTACTGCATGTATGATTGCATATTTAATAGAACATGAACACATTTTACTAGCTTTCTATTCTTATCCTGAGTCACATATGGAGTTGTGTCTCGCCGTGGGGAATAGGCTGGGATGTTGGACCAGGCCAGGCTGCTGTGAGGTGATGGATGCCTCACTGTGTATGGAGGCTCCCGTAGTGCATGTGTGCGAGCAGATGAATGGGAGGAGAGGCCGGTAAATGGGTCATACGCGGAGCAGAGGTTTGTGGGTAATGCGATGAAATGCAGGGGGAGTGCCATTGCCTACGATGGCGAGAAGTTTACTAGAGCAAGTGTTTGGTAAATATTACTTGAAGGTTCGACAGCTGCTTTACTTCGGCCTTTCCGTTCACAAGTTTGTGAGTTGTCAGCAGGCCAGTCGACAGAAATTTGGGGGCCTTGTGCAAGAAGTCTCACATGGGTCCCCCTCTAATATAAACTGATAGGAAGAGGGTCCAATTCTACGCCCCTGTCTACTGCCCTGGTTGTCAGTTCCATTACTAACAATCACTGCAGACAGGCCAAGGGATAAAAACACACACAGAATTCCTGATAAGATTATGCTAGTTAGGCCTGTCACGGTAATGACTAAATTTATCTTTCAATATATGAAAACTAGAACTATGTACAGTATTTTGGGGCTTAATATGTATTGTTTGTACATTTTCTTTGTCAAAGTGAAGATATTTGGGGGTATTTTTGTTGTAATAAGTGTTGAATAACTAACTTTTATGGCTGAGTATTGGTTCATTCTGCTATTTATTTGTTGCAGCTCAGGCTTTTTTAATTACACAGTTTTTTAAAAAAAAACGTTTACTGGATTATCTTTCATTATTGTTATTGTGTCAGTGGCATGAAGGAGTTTCAATATTACCGTTTATCACAGTATATCTCTGCAGAAATATATCGTGCTTCAAATTTGTTATTGTGACAGGCCTAATGCTAGTAGATGTTTCTTTGCTTCTTTGTGCGTCTGTTTTGTTTTGAGGAACCAATGAGATAATCCTCTAATCCTGTGTTGTGTGTGCATGACATGACACAGAAGCATACAAAAAGCCTTTGTAATTCATTAACTACATAAAGCTTTACAGTCATTAATAACTGTAATAATTTGATGTTGAAATGCATCATTGCTTTGTTCAGATCTAGTTTATTGCTGGCACTATTTGTCCTATGATTTTGTTGATCTCAAGTCTCTCTAATTTCATCAAACATGCTGAAGGAACCTTTGATGTACTGGGGTTCAGATGATGGAGTGAAGGAGTGTTTTTTTTTTTCTTGGCACAGATAAGAAAACCAGATCATGGGCCAGATAGATCTTGTAGGCAGCACGCACCGCTTCTTGGCAAGCGCTGCAAGGTCGATATTGAGTCGGGTCTTTCTTACCTCTAAGATTTACAGTGGAGCTCTGCAGCCTCATACTCCCAGATAGATGAGTATTTCATATGATGCCAACTGGCACTACACGAGTGGAGCTGAAGGTCATTGTGTCTCATTTCCAGCCCAGAAAACGTGCGACTGGAGAGAGGACCTCAGCGGACTTGTTTTAAAGCTGTAAAAAAGACATGTTTGATATCAGCAGACAGTACAGACGGTGTGGAGGAGACAGCTGAAACTACAGTAGTGGGGAGTGCTGCAGACCGCACAGACCTCAGGCATATGGCAGGGCGCCCCATGCCTCCAGCTAATTGAGTCCTAATGAATCATTGGTTTGGCGTGCAGCATGTCCCTTGCGATGGTGGGTGGCGTTGATGCATTGAAGAAGGCCGGTGCAGTGGAAGAGTGAGAGAGACAGACCGCTCAGGCCCAACACAAGAGCCCCACTGACACTGAGGACTCCACAAACTCACCAGATGTTTCTTGCCTGACCAGCCAGTCTCTCAAAAGTCTCTCAGAATTCTTGTATCATTCAGAATTATATAACTTATTTTACTTGAGATAAGTAATAGCTTGGTGCTTTGATTGTTGATTGTGCAAAAATCAACTGAGTTTCTTATTCCTTTATGTTGCTTTTCCCCCCTTTTTATGTGTAAGCAGCCATTTGTTTTTGACACGAACTAACCATGTGTCTCTCTGATTGCTTAAACCTGTCAGTCACACCCTGTGAAATCGGGGGGACATGATATGGCTACAGATCGACTTGTCTTTGTTTGTTTTTTCAAAGCGTGTGGTTCTGGCTGGTCAGATAAAGATGTTCCAAGGATTACTACCTCCCCATTCTGCACAATGGAAATAAGTGCAGAATGCTCCGGCAATGCACTGCCCCATTTGAGTCCACTTTAGCGCACAGAGCTGGGGTCACTTTGCTGTCATCAGACACTGGGGTCAGGCCAGTTCTGAGAGTAGGCAGACAGAATGTGCACCAAAGAACTCAGGTCAAAACTCTTATCACATTCATTTTAAAACCAATCATTTTCCAATTATTGCAACATTACTAACACTACACTGCCCTTCATATCAGTAGGTGTCTTATTTACTTGCACGGTTGTTCTGAGGTGTATTATGAGTTTATGCTGGATTCCCTCCAAACATAATTGACTTTTTCAGAACAAGAAAAAGGTTTAGAATAAATTTGGCTTCCACTGTGGCTTAAAAACAACACAGTCAAAATTCCAAGGTAGAAAAATACTACCCATTAAACATATTGTATTCAGTCTTTTCAATTCTGTTTAAGGAGTAACTTTTCTGGTGGAGCGTCCGCCAAATGCTTTTCTACATGCAGGTGTTATTGCTATTGGAATGTTTCACAGTATCACATGAAACCTTTCTATCATCATGGAGACCAAACCAGACCAAGTTACACATCAAATCTGTGGAGTGACAACCCCGCTCTCAGTCAGAATGCTGTTTTTCTAGGTATTTTTGAGCTATAAAACCACCTGTAATTGAATAAATGTAAGGTAGTTTGTTTAATGTCATACTGTAGAGACATTTCTTTAGAAACAAGAAGGTGGCGGACCCCCTTCAGAAAAGTTACATAGTGTGCCTTTCACAAAATAGTTCATTTGCACAAACACATGTAAAAAGTCATCCAAGGCTTGCAGGTTACTCTTTCTATAGTAATGTTTTCATAAGCCAAATATATAAGCTCCAATCAACCAATGTTCTATTAACCTATTCCTCTAATTTCCACTTGATTCTTTTAAACTGATTCTGATAAAGATGGTAACAAAAAGAGAAATACTTTATGACAATTTTCCAAAATGGAGGTATCTGTTCTTGCATTTGAACTCTTCTGATTAGCAACTAAACATTCCTTTTTGTTTTCACTATCTACGCACATACACATGTCGCATTGGTACATTTGATTTGGTGAGCTTGTCTGTCTTTGTGTGGTTCATGGTTTTTCAATTTCCTGCCACACGCCTGCCGATGCCCTGTCAACTTGAGATGCACCTGTCATGTTGATTACACCCCCCAATGGAGCATGTGCACCATTCTGCCTCCCACAATGCACTGCTATCTGAACAATCTCAGCTTTTGTTCCAGCCGTGAAACAGGGCTCACCTCTGACCTGTCTCGCCTGCCCAAGACCGTATCTTCATTCAGGATAAGGCGAGTGGCCAAATGAACGTGCAGACAATCTAGGAAGCTCATTATGGAACTTTTATAAAAGATTTACGCCACTCAACCAGTTTGCCGTGTGTAATGTGGAACAGCTACATCCATGTCATGTTACTGCAGCCTATAAAATGCATTATCTCAAAGCACTTGGGAGACCGATCACGTACTACAGCAATATGCAAATCTCTCAATGTGAAATTCAGCAGTTAAGAGGGCATAGTGTCAACAATTTTAGACTAAATCTTTGTAATAACTTCTTATTGCATACAAAGTGCACATTCAGCAAAAAGGAGAATAGGAGAAATATCAAAAAAGGGATAGTGAAAGTTTCAAATTTATTTCCTGACCATCCACGAATAACAGACTATATAATAACTATCACTGATATGCACTGATAAATGTTCTTTAATCTTTCTCTGATATACTGTTTCCTCTCCTGGGTATCTCTGGATAAATACTGACCACTAAGTGCAGACTGGAGCACATAAGGTCTCTCAAAAGACATCTCCATTAAATATCCCTCTTGTAAATCACAATGTTTGTTTTAACACAAATGTACCTTGCATTTCTCTGATTGATTGATCCACCTGTCAGTCATGCCCATAGGAAATCCCAGGAAGACAGGATATGGTTCCAGATGTACCGTAAAAGTGGTCTTAGCCAGGCAAATGTCACTCATGCTACATCTCATTTTCACAGATTTCACACTATAAAGTTTGACAAATAACAAAGAAAGAGTCTGTGTTTAATTTTGCCGGTATGATTTTTGTTGAATAATTTGCTATATGTTTGTCATATATGGTCCATTTGTGTGTGTGTGCACGTGTGTGTTTGTGCTTGTTGGTGGTCTGCCTCTGGCAAAGCTTAGGATGTACTGATTTACATCCTTCATAAGAAGATTACTGCAGGGGACGAGGGAAGTCGTCAGTGAACTTCACTGATGACCATGTGTTAACACTGACATTTGATCTGGTCAAAAGCCACAACACAAACACTTGTGTGTTCTTTTGAAGCTGCAATGTGAGTCTTTTAGTGAGCAGTATCCTGTTTTCATGGTGAATTCTCAGTGGTGCAGAAGATGTGATTTCTATTAGTTTTTTTTAAAAAGTGTAAGATTAGATGTGTTTTGTTCGTTGACATCTCAATAGTCTGTAGCTGATTTAGATTATAATTTAACACATGCCCTCCAACTGATTTATTAAGGCACCAGGAGCAGACTGTCCAGTGGTCATTCTTTTCCATCCATGAACAGCTACATCTTAATAACATAGTTTATTTTGGTAGTTAAGTTTAATGTAGTCTATCACTTACAGAAAAAAGAAAAAAAAAAAAAAACATGACTCTATAGGCTACTTATTTGTATTAACAACATACCCATTCAGCCAGTAAAACTAAGAGACTACATTAGAGGAGTGTGTGCATGCCCCCCTTGATCTACATATTGCGTAAGAACCCCATATCTTCTGTGAACACACTGTGACGCAGAGTGACCTCCCTGTCCCCTTCATCACTTACAGGATTGGTTGGTTTATAGATGCCCAAATACAAACGTGACCAGAGCGTCCCTTCTCGCGGGCCTGTGCAGCTTTACGCACTGCTCTATCCACGCATGACATCGCTGCTTGCGCGCCTCTCCGTGCGCTCTATCCAGTTTCCATCTACAGGTTCTTGACATCCCTTGCACACGAACACAGCTTACCAAAATATTTCATAACCAAACACATACAGCACCTCTATAGTCCGTAAATCATGACTATGCATTCTCATAAATTAAACGGTGCGAGGGCGCAGCGTTTTGAAGCGTGACAGGTTGCTGCAGGACGTGTCATTAAAGTGCACGACAAGGAACGTTTAAGGTTACACAATTTGAATGAGAAGTATAATAATTTCACCCTTTACGTGCTTAGTTAGTGGGTTTATGGTCATTTGAGCACAGTGTGTCCGTTGCCAATTCGTGCGCAGTCGTGTGAGGGGCAGAGGAAGATTTGACAGGCGACCGGCGTTTGCGCGTTATGGAAGCACACGTTCGAATTTGTCAGAGCGTCACACACAACTACACTCATCGATACACTGCAGACCATTTTGGCTTGTATTAGTCTCCAGTATGATCAATCCATATATATAGACATAAGCTATAACTCCGCAGCCAAATGCCATCCAGCCAACAACACCCTATCGATAAATCTTTCACAGCTCACATAGCAACATCACGTCCAAGGATCACTTTAGTTTACAGTTCTGCGCACAGAAAACGTAACTTACCTTGTATCAGTGCGAGCTTTTCGTTTGCTGTTCCATTTAAGCATCTTTTTCCTCCAAATCCACATTTCTCATTCAAGCCAGAGAGAGATGACAGTGAATCCATGTGTTAATTCCATTTGCCGGACGCACAAGGTGAATGACATTGCCTTGGTTTTTACATGTTCAAATTCTTCTATAAGATCCCGTGAAGCCGCGCGAAGGGTTTTTCCCATCCTCCTCCAGCTCTGAAGTTGCCTGGTTACCCCTGCTTCTCATTCAGGGCGGCTGGAGCCCTGCATGCAGCGGCCAATCATAGCGGCAGCCGAGGGAGATTAACTATTTCTTGGCTACACTATTCTAGTTTGAGGCTAAAATGAGGCGAGTGGGCGGGGAAAGTGGGCCCCCGGTGACAGAGGAAAAAATTTAAATGCACAGAGAATAATGTAGCAAGAGGTGGGAGGGGGGGTTGGAGAGGGAGGGAACAGGGGGATTAAACATTTTCAAAAAGAGAAAGGAGAGGAGGTGGGACCGCTTCTCACAATCTATGAATAATATTCCATCTTAAGTGTGTTATGCAAACTGCGCGCTGGACACCCCCTTCGCTCTCCCCGTCTGTATCAGGAGAGAGGATCATTGCTAAACTATCACCAAAAGCAATCCGTCTCTGTAATTGATCACCCCCTTTTAACCCACCATCCGTCAAACCAAACAGCCCCCCTGCCCGCCCCGCTGCGTCCCTGTCCCGCG